TTGCCACGCAAACCCAACACAGTATGTTAAAAGAATACTCAGATTTTTAATTAGTCCCTTCTGTCTAGGTGGCATTTTCCACTCAGACTGTGTGCTCTACATGCTTCACTCAATATGTAAAGCTGACAGCATTCGATTAACAATTATGATGTTGCCATCATTGTTCAGGGCCTCGTAGGTCCCTGCACAATCCTCAAGACCCAGCTCCCATACTGACAAGTTCATGTAAGAGAGGCCACAATGGTTTCCACATCTTTTTGTGTAAGACAGTGTGGTAGTCAAGTCACAAAACACTGGTGATTGACATATGGAGTCTCAAGCTTCAAAACAGTTATCAACTTTGCATCCCCAAATGATCAGCTTCTCAGGACACCTTGCATTTATAGTGGATTTCATATAATCCAAGTGTAACTCCCATTGCACTGAGCTTTAAGGGAGGCCCCAGCGCTTCTGGAAAGAAAAATAAATATAAAAAACCCAAACCAACTCAAGCCCAATAGTATGTAAAGCATACATAAAGCACAGATAATTAACAGCCATCTATAAAAAAAAATAGTTTAGGTACCTTGTTTCATGCCCTACAGGAAAAAGGGCAGACACTGAAATAATCTACTAGGACACTAACCACTGACCTTGATCAAAGCCTTCTCTTCTAGCCTTAGAAATAAAACACACACCTCAAGGTAGAAACAGAGCCAGAGTACTTGTTCTTCTGGCCTAGTACTCTTTTCTCCCAGAAAGGAGAAGCAACTGGTGTTGGGCAACAGGCTTCTCCACTTACACATCTGGAAGTTCTTCAGGCACAAGTCAAAGAGCTAAAGGCATGCCTCTAAATGGACAAAAGAACCCTGCAACACAAGCGCTACTTTGTCATTGTGAAAGCAACCTGTGAGGAGTAATCTAAATCGGTATGTGCTTTTGGGTGCTGGTGAGGCTGGATTAATTATTTATAGTATTACCCATATCTCAGAAACTCTACATATCAAAAATAACTTCAGGAAAGCACCAAATAAATTAGGAATGATTGGTTATTGCTATCCAAGAGACATTGGAGACAATTGTTTCAGACTTGCATCTTGCCAGAAACTCACTAGTGGTAGCATGCTCTACCACATAATTCTTTAATAGCTACTTTTTTCTAACAAATTTAATACCACCATTCAAAGTTGTAATGTTCTAGGAACACTGAATGCTCGTGATGTAAGAGAGTTTGGATCTAAAGGAAAAATATTCACAGTACCAGCAACAACCACAAAATGTTAATAAATTATTTACCCACTTATCAAAGAACAGATGATTACAATAAAATATACTGCTAAGTGTCAGAGTACTGCAGTTACTACAATAGCCTCTTCAATTGTCATCAAAAATCTTTGGTGAACACTTTGGAACTGTTAATTGTATCAAGACAAGCTGTACGTAGTCTGAATGGTTGATCATAAGCAACAATTTCAAAAAGCTGCTTGAACTTCTCTTAATTAACAGCCCAGCTACAGTTAAGAACAGTCACATGACACACCTGGATTTCCAGAGCACTTTACCCTAAATTAAGCAGCACAGTCCTCCAAATCAGCAGTCTCATTTCACACACAGCAGCTAGTTTTCAAGTTCTAACTACATGGTCTCCCCCCCCGCAAACCTTCCAGACCCACAGTGGTTTGAACAAGGAAGTGAGAACCAAATGAAACACAACAGCCACAAACACATGAAATGCCTATATGCAATCCAAAAATCCCAGATCAAGTGAGACAGATTGAAAGAAGATGTTTTCTTCTCACTGAAAGAACAGATCACAAACTACTGACCGCTTAGTTGGATTTCAAAAGATTATCGCCCCTTGGGAAGGCAGGTTATTTGATTCACTAGCAATGTGCTTGGGTTTATCTGCAGTAGAACCAGTCCTCTGAAATGTTATGTTTTCAACAATGTTATAATGCTATAGCTTGAGAAGCGATATGCAAAGAAGGAGAAAAGGGGTTTTCACTGTGTTTTTTATTCTCTTACAACACACTAAGGAAGGTATGAAAAGATTTTTGTGTAACTTCTTCACCACCCTCCCCTGCTCCAAAACCAGAATCTGATAAATCATGATCTAACTACAGGCAAATATAAGCAACAGACACACACATAAAAACCAATGTCAAAACTAGTTAAGCAGCAACGAAGACAGGGAGAAATCTAAATTCTTCAGTGTCTGTTGTGGTTTAGCCCCAGCCAGCAGCTCAGCCCCACGCAGCTGCTCACTCTCTCCCTCCTGGTGGGATGGGGGAGAGAATTGGAAGAGTGGAAGTGAGAATACTCATGGGCTGAGATAAAGACAGTTTAATAGGTAAAGCAAAAGCCACAAGCACAAGCAAAGCAAGACAAGGAATTCATTCCCCACTTCCCATGGGCAGGCAGGTGTTCAGGTATCTCCAGGAAAGCAGGGCTCCCTCACGCGTAATGGTTACTTGGGAAGACAAACACCGTCACTCTGAATGCCACTGCCCTCATCCTTCCTTTTCCCCCAGCCCCTTGTATGCTGATCATGGAACATCCCTTTGGTCAGTTGGGGTCAGATGTCCTGGCTGTGTCCCCTCCCAACTCCATGTGCACCCCCAGCCATCCCGCTGGCAGGGTGACATGAGAAGCAGAAAAGGCCTCGGTTCTGTGTAAGCACTGCTTACAAAAGCATCTCTGTTATCAACACTGTTTTCAGCACAAATCCAAAACACTAGCCCCATACTAGCTACTAAGAAGAAAACTCTCTCAGCTGAAACCCGGACAGTGTTTCTGATGCTTTTAAAGTTTTTCCTCTATTCAAGGACACACTTCAATAAACACTTTCAATACACACTCCCTTTTGAACTATACTGTACAAGGAAAAAAATAAATTAATTTTATTCCATTCACTTATTCTGAACTGTATTATATTGTTCCAACGTTTTAAGTCAGTAACCAAAATTTCATCAAGGCCCACAGATGGAAAATTTCAACTCCAATCAGCAAATATGGCAAACAAGGAATGGCTCAAATCAGCATTCCAACATAAATTTCTGACACTCTACCACATTCGCTCTATCTTGATTTATGTATTTTTAATTACTATTTAAGCACAATAAGCCAAGGCCCAGCGGAACACAATTTCCCTTCAAACAGCATGTTATAGAAGGGTCTATGACACAAAGGCCACAAACCAGTGAAAGCCAGAACAATATAAAGAAAATTGAAAGATTTTCAAAATACCTAAGCTTGATTATAAAAAACAAACACACATTCATATACTTTGAATCTTCACATGAAATGCCTTATACCAAAGTGGTATGTGTTTTCATGGAGTACTCAATGTAATAACCACATAGAACACATTCTTTTGAATGGCACTGTTATAACAGAAGCAAAAAGAAAAATTTCAGTGAAGAACCTTCTTTGATACTGTCCAAGACATTGTACACAACTCGACAAACAAACAGGCTTCATGTCATATACACAAATCATAAACTTAACTGGCTTCTACATTCACCACTAATTTTAACACAGAATTAAACAAATACCTTTTGTATTTTCTTTGGATCTTTCTGTGAGTTTTCTCTGAGAGGTACTTTTCCAAACAACTTCCATCCCACATCATTTTGTTTTTCGAATCTTGAAAAACTTTGCTTTCTAGTAAACAAATTCCTACAAAAAAAAGTTTAAGAAAAAAGATTGATTAATTATAATAAACAGAAGGATAGACAATTTGCTAAGTTTACGTATCCCAATCACATATTCCAACTGCTCTTGTGGTTGTGCTGGCAGGCAGTTTCCCATCCACAAGAGACAGGCTATGCAGTATTACCACCATACTAGGCAATGGACTTGGTTAAATAAGAACTTTTAGTAGATAAAGTTCATCTGTAACTTTCTAGAAGTAGCCTTCTTTTTTAGCCTCCCTCTAGATCATTCAGCCTCACTCTTTTAAAGTGAGACTAAGATACTAAATCTCTTGCTGCATAAACATTCTCCACCTGCCTATTACAACACACTGATACCAAAAATCACAAAAAAGTTGCATAGTAGCCTTTTACTGTATTTGATCTGCTTTCATAAAAGATTATTTTTCCTGAACAATCTTAAAAGCAACTATTAAAACACATTAATTCTGAAGACTCTCTGAAACGTCTCAAATTAACCAGCTTAAACACTGTAGTGACAGTAATAAAGCTAGACATAAAGCCACTGAAAATTAAATTATTTTTATTGCTAGTTTTTAATCATAAAGCAATATGCCAGACTTGGCATCTTCTCACCACAACTATGTTTTTCCAAACCTGGACATACTGTACAGACCAGTCTTCATGCTTTTGGTAGCACTCAGTTCCTCCAAGAGCACAACAGATATTCTACAACCATGGCATGTTTGGATTATCAAAAGCCCAGTGGGTTGACCCAGCAAGTACAGTTTTTTTCTTATTCATAAAGCATGGTAGTTTGGGAAATAAAACTATATTGAGCATCATATTCTAAAAGGGCTGAATATACATCTGCAATAGGAATGACCTGGACACTAAAAAAATTGATTTTCCTGGCCACTTTGGATCAGCTAGCATGAACAATATCATAAATACACCAACAGAGGTAATACTGCTTGGAATACAGGAGAAATGTTTAATACAAGGAAAACAATCGAGGCACAAACATCAGAGTGTGTCGGAGTGTATTATAAGGTCAATAGGGTGCACTGCCATCCTTAAATATGCATATATTTACACAAATGATCACATGCTTCTATATCACAAGGGTACAGTTACCTTGAAAGCCAAACTAGGAACAGATTATCATATTAGAAGATAAGAACAAAGTGTTTAGGTACAGAAATCACACAAGTGAATAACAACTGATGTCAAAGCTAAGCAGTAACTATACTTCTACAAACCCCTTTCAGCTTTCCCGTACCCTACCTTGCACAAAAAACAGCACAAAGATTTAGGGGAAACAACTGT